CATTCGATGGCAGATTAGCCTCCCAATACCTAAATAAATGTCAACCAATTAGGTCTTCAGTCACAAAGTTGTAAGATAAGAATAGCTTTTCATTGTGTGAGAGAGAGTTATTGTAAAAGTAAATCGTTTAATTGCTACCGAGCGGATATGGTGTCCATTATAACCTTTACGCATCCATCTGCGCCTCGTCTAATAAGTGAGTTGAAACAATGAATTTTAGGATGCTGCGTCAATTGCCCCATTGCAGATCTGGAAAAGGTGATTTGAAGGCCACGTTGCATAAAGCGCAGGTAAATCCTATTTTGTATTTCCTCTCTGTAAATATCTGTGGGAAAAGCGGTATTTTGCAGGATTAATGTACACTGCATAACAAGTATGATAATACGTCTATTTTACCAGACTGCGGAGACTCCTACACAATAACCCAATTGTGTGGATGGTGCGTGGGTATCCGTATCGAAAATGTTAAAACAATGGTAAAGTGACGTATTTGTGCATATGAAATAGTCGCCACGTTAGTATTATTTGTTTTTACTGTAAAGTTGATTTAACTTTCAGGTATTTCATTCGAAGGTTGTCGTTCGTTGTTGGCTGCATTTGTATTAGGCCATTCGATATACTGTCCCTTACTATTATTTGATTATCAGCTGATTATCTTGTATAATTTATTCTTAGACTCGTCACGTTTTAAATCCATCAACATGACAATAACGATAAGAAACTCACTGGTGCCCTGATATCAATTGAGATCCTGTGGATAGTTAATATCTACACATTGTTCTTCACACTGTATTTATACAATGACTACTCTTACCTTCTGTCTTTAATGTCTCATCATCCAACCTCGCACATCCCATCTATTCCAACATTCCATCCCTCCTCCTCTTCTCCTTCTCCTCCTCCTCCTCCTCCCACTAACCTACCACGTACAAACCGTCTCTTATCAACGCAAGCTTCGCGCGACAATATCAGACACGTTGTCAATCACCATATTCTCCATCATCGTCTTGAGATTCCTCATCTGCACCAGCGACTGTCTAAACCAGCGTGGGAGAGGATGATGGGAATTCTAACGCGGATCGGTGAGAAAGTAATGGAAAAGGTTATCGGTAGTAGTAGCGAGGCGGCGAATGGCAGACAACAGAGAGTGGAAGAAGAGGAAAAGGGTGTTGAAGTATTTGGAAGTAATGTTGTTGAAAATGAATATAACGGAATCTATTTTGAAAGTATTGCAATCAAAGATGAAGGTAAGCACTTGATGCAATGAAATTTTGTTAGCATTTCCCAGGGCGAATGCATTATAACGTTGAATCTACTACATTTAGACCCGAATATTAATGATTTGGATACCATTAATTCAAAGAGTAGTGTGAACGTCGATTCAAATGATAATGTCAACGCTAGCCCTGATGTTCGTTCAACAATCGAACCTACGCCCACTGACGTTGCTACATCTTCCACGGCTTCTTCCTCGCCGACGTCTTCCTCCACACCGACGTCTTCGTCATTTCTTTCCCTCTCTCAATCTTCGTCCACCAGCCTTTCAACATCGATCCCTCTAAGTACATTATTTGCATCCTTGTTCATGGTATATTACGTAATTCTCCGCATTCGACTTTGGAATGCAAGAATGAAAACAAACGTGTATGTTGGAGATGGTGCGACAGAAATGATTAAAATGGGTGCGAAAGACGATCGAGGAGATTATCAAAGGCGAAAAAAAGAACAAGGAAGAAGAGGTAGGTACCGCGTGTGTGAAGATATTTGGGGGCACAGATTGCTTTAAAGAGTGATCATGGTGCAAATTGGGGAACGTGTCAGAGACATGTCTTTGAAAGCATATTACCCACTTGTATAACATTCTTGTAATCTTCAATATATTCATTTGTATATAGTGTCCATCATCTCTTATTCTAAAATCTTTTTAACCTTGACTTTTTCCTTATTCGCAAAGTTATGCCGATGCAACGTCACAGTTCAACTCCTAGTACCGTCATCTCTTCACTGTCTCCGGTTTCTTCTCCTTCACCTACATCGTCACCATCACCATCACCATCAATGTCAATGTCAATGTCAATGTCAACGTCAATGTCAATGTCACCATCACCTTATACGCACTCTACACATCGGGCATCATCATCATCATCATCATCCTCCTCCGCTTCTCCTTTCCAACCCGCGTTCTCAATACGTCCATCACCTTCGACCAGTGACTACCATCTCGTAATGCTGTATTCTGAAAGCATCAACTTTTTTCTCATGACTGTGCCCTGGGGGTTGATATTGTTCCTGATATGTGAGCTGAATCACATCCAGGCGGGCATTCTTGTCGTTCTGTTCTCGATGTTGTTGGGATCGACCGTGCTGTACATTGAAGGGGGACTGATAAGCGAGGGTGATTGTAGTTTCGGAAGGAGGGAAATTGCAGAATACATTGTTTATGGAACGTTGATCGGGGGAGTGATAATATGCATAACTGAAATGGTTGGAATGGGAGCTTGATGATAATAAGTGCGACCCGGGAAAGAGGAAAAAGGGGAGATATTGTCATGTTGGTCTGGTAAATGGATTATAGCGAAAAGATGTTTGTTCATTTTGCATATCACCTTTCATCTGCCTTTTATTATTTCCCAATAACATCTCATTATAATTTACACTATTAATAGTCTTTTATGTGTAAGGCATGTACCGATTGCTAAACGTATGTAGCTTCTATAAAAAGTACTCTACTCTATTTGAAACTCTGAAAGTCCATCAAATCACCGAAAACGCTTAGGGGAGGGAGTGAAGAGAGAAATTTATATTAGCTTTGAAAATAAACATACCAAACAAGACCAATCCATTATTAATGCATGACCAATATATCATCATAATCCTATCAACACACTTTTAAAAAAAAATACTCACTCATCCCCGGCACTTGCACGATCCGCCCCATTTCCACCTCTCTCTTGCTGATTCAGCGTAGTCGATGCAAATACGTTGAAAAATTGACCACCCTGAGGCATAATTACATTCTGCGCACCGCGTTGTTGTGAAGATGACGAGAGATTGGGCGTCGATGAGTTTGACATTGATAAATTGTTCAAAGATGATAGATTAGCCACTGATTGCAAATGCTGACTCGGTAGGTTACCCTGAGATGCGTTCTTCATCCCGTATATTCCCTGTCCCATTGGCATTGGTGACAGCCCCCCGCCTCCCATTTGTGGGCTACTGTTATACAAGCTCATGATGCTAGATTTTAAATTGTCTTTATCTCCAACGACACCCGGATTGGGAGTTGCCGACCTCTGAACGGGTGAAACTGTTTTTTCCTGTGTTGAGCCCGTAGGTGCTGAACTTGCAGCCTGTTTCCCAATCGAGAATAACTCGGCTCCGTGAAGTTGACTTGTTGAATTTTGAGATTTTACAATTGGGATGGAAGAGGATGGTGATGGAGAGAAAATGTCGAGAAGATCCGATGAAGATGAAGAAGAAGGTTTAGGCGCTTGTTGTTGTTGTTGTTTTTGTTGTTTCTGTTGCAATTTTTGCTGCTGCTGCTGCTGCTGCTGTTGTTGTTGTTGTTGTTTTGATTCTTTGTTAGTAGATGTCTATTAGTGACAAGAAAAATAAATTAGAATTACGGACAATAGACGTTACGCATCACCCGATTACTTGACCAATTCAACGTTCTGCCAATACCTTTTCTTGTTGAGCCGAGAACCCATCACTCAACATGTCCGGATCGGGAATGGGACCCTTCTGAGCCCATTTCTTTGCCTCGTACTTGGATCTAATCCAATAATCTATATTGCTATTTTCAAAAAGGAGCAAGGTGATAAATAAACGTAGCAAAGTATAACGTGCATTGACACTTTAGTTATTCACCTCTCTGGTATTTTTGCATTCGATGGCAGATTAGCCTCCCAATACCTAAATAAATGTCAACCAATTAGGTCTTCAGTCACAAAGTTGTAAGATGACGATAATGTTTACTTACACATTAGCCTTAGCATTACCCCATCGACGCACATTCTAATACCAAACATTTTTTAAAAGATGTATTATTACAACGTCGAAATAGCCTTGACTAAAACACTTTGGTCGATTCATACTTACTTCTACTTGTTCCGGTGTCCACGAGTCTAGATCGATAGATTTAACTAACAAAGTAGATGTAGTTAGGACAAACATGAATCACCGTTGTGAACCAAAACAATCTATTGTTTGTTACCTCTGCTAATATGAGTTCCCATAGATCGATGAGTTCCAGAACATCTTATACAAATAAATATGCCAAGATTCCACGAAGCCCATCGAGGATCTTTGGAAGTATGTTTGTGTTTTGAAAAGATTAACCTTACGTTGTTCTATATTACACAGACAAATAAAGAATGTCAACTGTCTAACCTTTACGTCTGCAATCAGCACAGTGTCTGTTCTCTGGTCTCTGTAGACATTCCTTTAATATTTTGGCGTGTTGCTCATTGAGCGTCTTGTTGGCAGTACGTTGGAATCTGGTTGACATTGTGTATTAATACTGATACAATACTAAAAATTAATGTTTGAAAAGCTTTCGAGGATTAAAAAGTGCTATATGTCAAATTACAACTCTATTATGTTTTCTAGAAAAAGTGTTTTCGAATAATAATAACTGATAAGATTAACTTTGAAAAAACGCAACTTGTGTGACATTAAGTACGCATAGGATAACGCCACAGATAGAAATTCTACCCGTGTTATTCTTGGTTATTCTGTTAGTTATTACTTGGTTTTAGTTTGTCCAATTAACGTACTTTAGAATTGTTCTACTCTTTTCTATGCCTCTAATATTTTGATACTTCTTTTGGACATGAAAGCCTACATACTAGTACCGATATTGTGCTTTGTGAACAGGTCAATCTTGCACTTTTTGAGAGACGCCAAGAATTTTTAATAATAATGAGAAATTAAACTCGTCCAAGGCTTTGTTTTGGTATGAGTATGCGGGCTACAGAGATTTAACAGAATGACAAACGTTTCCAGAATTTGGACATTAGTATCACGATTCATTTGCAATTCTAGAAACTGCATTTCTCTTTGGAACAAAATTGCGCGTTAATCATTTCTTTACAAATTCTTGTTTGGTTTACTAAATGTCTTGTCTAAGACATTAGTTACTTGGTTGCCAAATTACGACCTCAAATTACACAACATTATTTACGTCTAATTTATGAAAAAACTTACTCTCTTGCCACTACTAAATAACTGTTATTTTGGCCGCCCAATTAAAAACGGGGCCGGAGGTAACTTTGTTACTCCAGTCTATTCTGACAACCAGTACCACTCATTTAAATTACAGAACATATTTTCTAACCGCGACTAGATATCTGTTATGTAATTATGCGGCTTGGCTATTGGAGGGTTACAGAAGAGCGATGTGTATAGATCCTTACATAAACGGAAAAGTAAAGACTTACTAAAAGTGCATTGATAATATGTTTGCCGAGATTTTTTGTGAAACGAAATAACATAATTACTGTTTGATAAGTATATTAATATTAATATTGACTTTTAATTTTGATAACTGACGTGTCTGTTCTGTTATTACTGCTATTGTTATCGATTTTACAATGATATTGATTTTAGTGATACTTATTTGTCAGAGCAAATAGACTACACAATAAAGATCTCCATACTCTCCCGGACTATTAAAGTTATGTCAAATGACCAAGTGTCCCTGATACTAAGCGTTCAACATTGGTATTATGCCGGAGAATACAGAAAACCAATGCAACCAAAACGGTTGCTGATTACTTCCAAATGTAGTTTGTTGATTGTTCATTGTTTGCATCTCCAAACTGATGTTTGTTTGGCAATTATAAATGTTAGTAATTAAGTTCTTTGTTTGAAAATCTACATGACAATTGTTTAATCTTATCAGAAGTTTACGCAATCATTTATATTGGAGCTGCACCTCATAATGTAAATTAGGCAATAGATTTATATTTTTGATGAGTTATGCTTAGAGATGGAGAAATATTGCTTGATGAGAGATATTGCTTGACGGAGATATTGCTTGGGTAAGGTGATAAATATCAGCAGATATTGATATAAAATGCTTACAAATTTAATTCGACCCTAGTCGTCAAACTTTTAATTTGTCAATTCTTGTAACTTGATTATCTGGTTGTTAGATATGAAAATGGCAGACGTGTTTAATTACAAAACCGTTTTTTATTTTCTTTGGTTAAGTTTTTGTAAAATCAGATATTTTTGTTGGTTTAATAATTAATTGAAGAAATCTGTAATATTAACGAGATAATAAAAAAAGGTACAATATTAATATTTATTTGTTGAAATAACGTGTTTGTTATTATTAAAGTATATAAACAAAAAGTTTTCGCAATTGTATTAAAGTATGAAACAATTTTTTTAATTAATAATATTATAGCCCGGCGCATTAAAAGACAAACTGCTTGATATATTAATTATTCCGAGGAGAGATGATAATAAACGATGCGAAATCAAGTTGCCGTAAATTTTTACGAGGCTTTATTGCATGCGTGCAAACTTGAATACAAATTTGCAATTCATATGCGGGTCGGGTGGAAGATATGACTTTGACCTGTTATAAAAAATACGGGTTTGTTTTCTTGTAACCTCATTTCAAAGTTTAAAACCGTTTACCCAATTATAGGGAGAACGCTTTATCCATCTCATCAAATTGATCAGCTATTTCCTATCTATTAGTTTCACAAAAGGGCGGTTGGGAAATAAATAGTTTGAAATATTCATAATTTTGAGGAATGGCGGTTGGATATGCAAGATTATTTTATCGAACCAATAATCTTATCAACAGATTAAGATATGGTTGTAGCTCGTGCCTGGATGATGATCATGTGTTGCGAGCATGCATTCACAAGTGGTTGGCTGATCCAGTATCAAATAACCATAACAATAACAATAACATTAAATAAACAATAAACAATAAACAATGGCAGCTAATTTCAACGAATAAATGCCCCAGATGCGGTATTTTAAGTTTCCTTATCTGTGTACCTCTGCTAGAGTTATGAGATATTACGTATATATGCTCGCATATATTGATGTTCATATCTTTGTTCGGTGAAATCGCAGCTCGCCATGATGACATTTGTTTTAGGTAATCATTGTGCACCGGGGGGGCCACAGTATACATGTCTGTCAATATTTCCAGAGGAGAATGTTTACGAGTTTTGATGCGGGAAGATAATTATTTGTGAACCTTTTCTAGGAATGTCCAATGTTGTGTAAATAACGTCTTGTTGGTTAGAATGTCCTGTGCTAGTGCTGCGGCGATCAAATTAGGTAGGACGTACCGCGTGACCCGTGCCATTCGATAGTGTCCAAATTGGGGGGAGGATTGACCCAGATTATTATTATTGATAATTGATAATTGACAAAAAGAGTTTTTTGTTCTCGCAAACTTTGACTTAAAATTGCTGTGTATATGGCCGGATGTTAATTCTTCGACCGGTTTTTCTTCTTTTATTAATATCATTGATATGAATATCTATAATTAATAATACATGTACAGTTTAGAGTCCACGACTATCGAATACGATATATTCTGTTGAATATTGAGTATTTGAATATCTGATATTTAGTGATACTAGTTATCTTCCTATATAATATTTAACATTACCTTGTTCCTATCTCATATACATATATATATATCCCGAGTATCATCCACTTTTTTTTTTCCTTTCACACAGTGCTAAACACTAGCTGTCACCTACAACGTCAAGGTTCACACGGTATTGGGCATACGGCACTACTCCTTGTTTCATTCCTCGGTACTTTATATGCTAACTGGTTCACGCACAATTATCTAATACTTGCAAGCCTGTTTGACGGCCATTTGTTTTTTCTCACCATAGTCATTAGCACCTCGGTCTTTTCTAAATATATACACTTACTTGAACCCTCAACATGACTACCGGCCTCCAGTCAATCGCCGACCTCACCGCTTCGACCCGCATAACTACAGGCGACATTCCGCCGCCCCTCGTAGGAGCATCAATGACAGTCATCGGCACCAAATTGTATCTATTCGCTGGAAGATTAGTATCTTCGCGCAAAATGACAAACGATCTGTACATACTCGATCTCGAAACATTCATATGGACCAAGATCGTCGATAATTCCGAGACATTGCCAAATGGACGTTACTTTCATTCAGCAAATATACACAAAAAGTCTATAGTGTTTTTTGGCGGAATGGGCTACGCTCGTAACGGCGGCGAAGAATTATGCGTGTTAGACGATGTCGTAATATATAACATTGAAACTTTTACATGGCATTATCCCGAGATTAAACCATCACATTCCGCCCCAAAGCCAAGATACGCTCACCTCGCTGCCATCACTGCCAACAAGCTTCTAGTCATCGGCGGGCAAGATATGAGTAATCATTATATCGAAGAGATTAACGTTCTGGACCTGGATGAAATGACCTGGACTATATCTCGATCATTCGACAAGCATTGCGGCGCATACAGATCAATAGCCGTAAGTAGCAGGAATCATACCGAATTACCAGTTTTCGGTAACGACATGGCCGAGAGCGTACCGCTATCCCCATACAGCAGTGAAACTGCGTCGATAACTTCGTCGATAAGATCACTGGATTCTCAGCCTCCTCCTCCTCCTCCCACCCCTATTTCACATTCCCTGCGTAAGAGCACCTCTGCTAACAGTCTACCGTCCGTTAGTACTCCGCCGGCTTACGCTTCTCCGAGAAAAATGTCAGCCGGTACATTTAATTATAGCGGCCCGCGACGCGGTCAACCCGCAAATCACATCATTAGTCGAATGCAAGGAATCGAGAATAGTTACTGTCGTCTATCTTATTCGACTAGCGTTACCGATGATAATCCGAACCCAGTATACATATACTCCAACTACAATTTCACAGATGTCAAAAGAGAGCTACAAGTGGTCGCTCCACCCACCACGTCCAATTTTCAAATTATGGATCATTCGACGAGCATGACCGGAGCGTTTCTTCCGCCCGGCTTGCGATTTCCCACGGGATATATACTCGGTCATTATCTAATAATATCAGGCACATATCTCACAAATGCTAGTCAGACGTTTAGCGTGTGGGCACTGAATTTGGCCAATTTGGTATGGACACGCATCGATACTGGTTCAACGTTTACGCACGGATCATGGAACAGAGGAGTATTGTGTGAGGTGACTAACAAATATATTGTACTTGGCAATAGAGATAGAGCGCTGGTCGAAGATTACAATCATAGACAAACCAATTTTGATCATGTAGCTATAATTGACTTGGAAGCATTTGGGGTATATCAACCACCCCCAGCAACAATGTCACCTAGCGCTCAAGAATTAGGTCTTGCATTGATTAGCGAACCCAACATGGCTGACTATGAGATTGTCACTATTGATGGATATCGTATTCCGGTCAATTCAATGATGCTAAGCGCGAGGTGGCCTCATTTCAGAGCATTAGCTGAAGCGCAGGCTAATCGAGTACCGGAAGTCAAATATGACTCTGTTTCTAAGAAAGGGGAAGAAGAGGCAACAATAACAATGTACAACTATCGGGCGTTAGAATTCCCCGAACCATATGCTGTCGCGATAGCGTTTATTCAATATCTATATACTGACAATTTGCTGACACTTCAGCAACACCAACCAGCCATTCTGGCTCAGTTGTTATTATTGGCTGATATGTATGATTTGGAGCGTCTACGTCAATTGGCATCGCACGCATTACATCAAAATCTAAACATGTCTACAGCCGCGCTGATATACGAAACGGCTGCATTATCGAAACAATCGGGACTTCAGATTAGAGCGTTGAAGGTAATGATAGCGGCTAAAAAGATGCTTCAACAACAACAGCAGCAGCAACAGGAACAATTGCAACAGCAACAACAGCAGCAGCAACAGCAACAACAGCAACAACAGCATCAGGAACTACAGCAACAACATCAGCAATCACAAGTCATCAACGAACAAATAGCACTACAGTCACGCTCCATCAACGGACAGCTGATGAGAAGGCCAAGTGGAAGCGAACATGATTCGGCTTCCTCTCAATGGTCGGCGATGTCAGGTGGATCTCCCACATCACT